GTTCGAAGCCACAGGTACAGTGGAGACCCGAGAAGTTTGGAGAAGCCAGGAATGTGGACCATCTAAGGAAAGTTACAAGGAGGGTGCAAAGCAGGCCCAAGAGAGAAACCATGGGAGCTACAACTGCCAGAAGTGCCATAGAGGCAGAGCCTCATGGAGCTAACAATTTGCCACAGATTGCCTTGGATGTTGCATGTGGAACTACAGGACTTAATGTTTGCCCTGCAGGCTTGTGGACTTGCTTTGGTCCCAACTCTTTGTATCCCTGTTTGTACCTTTTGGAATGGTAATGTTTATTTTCTGCCATTGAATGTTGCAAGTGTTTTGCTTTTCATTTGTATAGGGTTTGCAGCTAAGAGTTTGCATTAGATCTCAAAGGGCACTTGGAACTTGGACTTTTCAGCAATGCTGCGACTGTTAGGACTCTGCAATTCTTAGAGATGGACTAAAATGCCTTTTATATAAAGGGATGTGCACGAGTCTTTGAGGGGCCAAGGGCAGAATATTATGGTTTGTGTCTGAATGTCCCCGCAAAGCCTCATGCAGTCATAGGGCAGGCTTCTAGAGTTTTTCGTTGACTCATGGTCCAATGCTGGGATTTTGGGTCAGTGCTACACCCACCCTGGGGTGGGCAGCCTGCATACAGTATAAGGGAGGGAAAGCAAGGCTTGTTTCCTGCTGGTCTTCCTTTTGCTCTTGTTGCTTTTGCTATTTTCCACTGCCATAAACTGTTGCCCTCTGCCATGTGCCACTCTGTCTTGGAGCCAGCCAAGTATGGACTGAAACATGCACAAACTGTGAGCTATATAAACCTTATCTTCCTTAATTCTGGGCATCAGGTATTTTGGCTCAGCACTGAGAGAAAAGTAACCAAGACAGCCATGCACACTTGTTTCCCAGCCTGCTGCAGTCCATGGGAAGGCTGTCCCTTCAGTCTCCTGGGATACTCCTGGCCAGTTACCTTGGTGATGAGTTCCCATCAGTGAGTCGCTGTCGTGGGCTGCAGCACTTGCCACAGCACACTTTGCCAGTGCTCACAGGAGCCTTGACTGCTTGAATCCTTTCTCAAAGCCTTATTTCTGATGAACCCGGAAATTGAGAATCTTTATTTCCTATACTTAGTTTAGTTTTGTGATGCTAACCTGACAGTTTGAGACAGAAAGAGACATTTTTGCATTGGGGCACTTAATAATTATGCTTCATAACAGGTCTGGAGATTGGCCAGAAAGATCAACTGAGACAGCAGCTGAGGTGACCCTTATAAAACCCATTTTTAAGTGCATTTTATAACTGATAGTGTAGCCCTCTTGTTTTGCCCTCTCCAGTCTGTTCATGCTAAAGCACCCAGAATGAATGGTCTGAAACACCAATGTGATCATGTCAGCCTTAGGTTTAGTGAATTCCAGACTTCTTTGTGCCCCTCGCAGCTCCTGAACTCTGCCCACACCACGCTTACAGCCTGCCTCTCCCACAGCTCCTCCACAACCCATGCTCCGACCTGAACATCAAGGCTCTCCTGGGATCCTATTTCTTGTGAAACTCTTTGAAAGGAGGGGCCCCTCCTCCAGGGGCTCATAGGAACTTGTTTTAAATTATTCATTCACAGCACTTCTCTCCAGTGTTCAGTCTCCTTGCCTCACTAGTCTACCTAGACCCATGAGAATGAAGAATGTGCTGTTTTAGGACAAGAAGTAGGTCTTGTTCAAAATGTAAAGCCCTCGCCTGGCCCACAAAGGACTACTTTTTCCATACCTTCCTTATTCTTTTTCCAGTCATTGGCTTCCTCTTGGTAAACAATGATGATTTTTGTGGAGAGGTAGCCCTTGGCCTGCAAAAGGTATCGTAGAGAATACGCAAATGTAAGTGGCATTCTCTTCCCAAGACAAAGACATTATTTTAATGATTACACAGTTTTAATATTGGGGAAATAAATATAATATCCCAGCCTGGAAGATATCAGATACACTGAGTTCATGTTCCCCAACATTGAAGGATGAATTCTAAGGAACTACAGAGATTAAGAGTAGGAAAACTTTATTGAGAGAGCTCCTGAGATAGAGGAGGGGCCACGAAAATGGGTTGCCAATGAGCCCACTTCTCAAAGTTTTATAGAGCAAAGTCTCGAGGTGGGTACAACATGGGTCAAAACTATGATCAACCACTAAGATTACAAATACAGCTGCTTAGGTAATACTGATCCAGTGGGGAAACAGGTCATGTAGCAAGTAGAAATAACAAAGACTTTCTTTAGGAATGGATGGATCAGGAGGTCTTGGTCACCCACCGGGGTGACTGATGTCTATCTAGACGTTATTGGAATGGGTGATACCAATGATCTCATCCCCTGGGGAGATATGTGGGCCAGTCAGTTCTTTCCATCTTTATCTTGAGCCCTGGCCTCCAGCAGATGCGCCTCTGACCACAGTTACAATGTGTTTTCACCCTCTGCACTGACTCCCTCAGTGGCCGAGCCCTCTTTGACTGCCTAGAGTATTTCTACCTAACTTAGCTGCCCATAATAGTTTTTTGGACAAAGGAGATCTTTTTAGAACATAGCTCAGCAAAATTTTTCTGTGAAGAGCCACATACTATTGCTTTATGGTTGGTTTTATTTGGTTTTACAGCTCTTTTAAAACTTGAAAACATTTTTTATTAGTGTGTGTTTGCAGTTCATAATGTTTACACTTTCTGTGTGGAGTGGGTGTGTGTCCACAGCACACCTTCATTTCTTTTCCATCCCCTTCCCCTCCCCTTCTCTCTCCCTCCGCCTCTGGCTCCCCTTCCCATCTAAGAAAGGTCTGTCTCCCTGCTTCGGATTATCTGTCTTTTATTTTGCTCTTTATTTGTAATTTGCATTTCTCTCATGGCTATGGGCACGATTTTGCCCCTGGACTGTAACTTACCGGCTGGTTCTAGAGCAGAATGTCACTGTGCTCTCAATTGACTACACCCAACCCTGACTGTGGAATTTAGTGCAGCATTTACATTCGGAAGCCGTACCCCACCCCCACCCCTCCAGCCAGGGCTTACCCTCCTTTGTCTCACAATTGTGTGGTCCTTCTGAATTAGGCAGGTATAGGGAGGGCGTCTTGGGCTTCAGGATGCTCAACTTTTCTTTTCTCTCTTCCTATCTCTTTAAATTTCTGGCTTGCCCCCTGTGAGTTGAGCTGCTGAGAACACTAAGCTTCCTTTTGGCATTTGTTTGTTTTAAATTAGGAGAAGGAGATACAACCAAAATTATTTTTATCTGATTTCCTTTTTTTCCTTAATATTTCACCCCTAATTGACTCCTTTCTGAATTTTCTTAAAAGACTATACATTTGTGTCTTTGAAAATAAATTTTTTGAGTATGTCTGTCATCCTAGCTATTCAGGAGACTGAGGCAGGAGGATCACAGATTCTAGCTCAGCTTGAGCAACTTAGCAATAATTCATTTTGAAATTCAGTTAAATTTTTTAAAGTGGGCTTGGAATGTAGCACAGTGTAAAGGCCCTGGGTTCAATCCCTAGTACCGTAAAACAAAGAGAAGAAGAAAGGAGTGGAGAAGGAAGATTAGGGAAAGGGAAGGGAAGAGGAAGGGAGGAGAGGAGAGGGGAGGGAAGGAGAGGGGAAGAGAGAGGAGAAGAAGCCAGAAATTTTCCTCCCTTCTGCCCATCTCTCTTATTACCTAGAGGAATTTTAATACTTTTTTGGTGGGCTGGAAGGAAAACCTAACCTGGACATACAAGACTGTGCTTCCTATAAAAAAGTTACCTGTGTTTTCTTCTGGCTTTATTGAGAAACTCGTGAAGATTAATTCTCGGGAAAGTAATAATTCCAAAGATAAACCAAGTCTCCTCAATAAAAGAAAAAGGTCAAATGTATAATAAAATATGGATGGATTAAAAGATAATATAGTACATGATTTCTTGAAAGCTTTGGGCATTTAAACATGTTAGTAATTACTAACTCTACCATGAACTGTAGATTTTAGTTAATAAAGCAATATTTGTTCAGTAAGACTAAGAAATGTACTAATAGGTAAAATATGATAACTCAGGTTCATGTTCTCTTTTTCTATAAATATATAGAAAACCTTTCTACAATATAAAATTTATTAATTAAAAAAAGAATAACCTATTACTTTGCCAGGGCTGCTGTAAGAAAGTACCTTGCTACAGTCGTTTTCCTTGTTGCTGGGACAAAATATCTGACCCTGGCAGCTTAAAGGAGGAGAGGTTTATTTCGGCTCATGTCTTAGTGGTTGCAGTTTTGCCTGATTGGCTGTCTCCAGGCAGAAGTATAGGGGAAGGGTATTGCGGAGGGAAGATGCTCACCACATGGCAGGCAGGAAGTAGGGGGAGATGGGGAGGAGGTGTGGTGGGAGATAGAGTAGTACTTCCGGGTCATGCCTACAATGGCTGCTGCTTCCAGCCAGACCTTCCCCTAACAGCAAGTCAGCTGTAAGCCCCCATAGTCCATTCACCTTCCAAACACATGAGGTTTGGGGATTCATTTTAGATCTGAACCATAGCATATCTAAAACTGGGTGCCTAGAGAGAAATTCATTTTCTCACAGTTCTGGAAGCTGGAAGTCTAAGATCAAGGGACTGGCAGGGTGGCTTCTCAGGGCTGTGGGAGAGGGATTTGTCACAGGCCTTGGCTTGCAGGAGGGCATCCTCTCCCCGTGTCTCTGCATTCCCTTCCCTCACGGAGTGCATCTCATCCAAGTTGTCATTCACTGAAGGGCACCAGTCATATTGGAATATAGGCCCAAGCTAACGAACGCACTTTACTGGCTTCTGTGGAGGCCTTGTTCTAAATCAGATCATATTCGGAGATACTGAGGATTAGGACTTTAATCTGTTAATTTGGGGGTTCAGAAGCAATTTGGCTTCTAACACTGGCCAGGCCCCCGGCTTGGTATTGCCTGACACTCTGGCGAGTGTCTCCCCACACCTCCTGCTTAACTTTGCCTTGTGTTTTGCCTGTGTCTCTATGTTGGTTCTGTTCCTCCACAGCGACAGCCAGCAGCTGCAGCTTCTGTACTTGGAGTGCATTCTGTCTGTGCTCAGCAGCTCCTCCTCCGCCATGCACCTGCACAGGGGCTTCACCGACCTCATCTGGTGAGCACCCACCCCCCAGGTGCCCCCATGCCAGCCGCAGGGCTCCACATAGCAGTGTCTCTGGCCCCTCCACAGCACCTGTGACCTAGTGGAGGTTTCACCCATGCATAAGTGTCCTCAAAGGAAAGTGAGGGGATTGTTTTGTTTACATGGATCAAACCAGAATCCCGAGAGAAACTGATCATTGTTATAACAAATGTGCCTCCAGGACCCGCTTACGATCACAAGAGCCAAGAAGCAATAAATGTTCTGGGCTCTCAATTTGTTCTAAAAGCATAAAAATGCGAGTGAACCATGCTCTTAGCCCTTCCCGGTCCCTTCTCCTTGCCCACCCCTGGAGGTGTCACAAGTTCCTCTCTCATAGTCAGACTCTGGGAAGTGACAGGCCCCTGAAGGCAGCCGCCTAAGGGCTCTGAGTTGCTCTGCCTGCTGACAGGGTGGGAGCCAAGTGACAGGCATCAGTATGGAATTGGAAATTAACTTCTCATGTGAGAAGTCATTTTGTCATGTGTACAGAAATGAAACTCTGTAACTGTGTCTTTTATTATTTTGAGCCTGTTTCTTCATGAGAGGGCGTGTTAATGCTTCTCCTGATGTTATATTTAACTGTAACTGGGAAATGAGGGAAAGTATTCTGCTGGTGGCTCCCAGGGTTAGGGGCACTTGGGAGACAGGCAGAACGTGGCAGAAGGAGGGCACAGTGAGGTACCAGCCCTTTCTGAGCACTCCTGTGGCATCGGGCCTTCGTCCTCCAGCTGGCACTCACCTTTTACCACATGGGGTTCTGGTGAGAATTGTTTTTCTGCCATCTCTTCCCAGGAAAAACTTGTGCCCCGCCCTCATCGTGATCCTGGGGAACCCTGTTCATGACAAAACCATCACCTCTGCTCACAGCAGCAGCACCAGCGCCAGCGTGGAGTCGGACTCGGCCTCTCCGGGCATCTCTGACCACGGCCGGGGCTCCGGCTGCTCCTGCACCGCGCCGGCCCTCAGCGGGCCCGTGGCTCGCACCATCTACTACCTTGCAGCCGAGCTCGTCCGCCTGGTGGGCTCAGTGGACTCCATGAAGCCCGTGCTGCAGTCCCTCTACCACCGCGTGCTGCTGTACCCGCCTCCCCAGCACCGCGTGGAAGCCATCAAGATCATGAAGGAGGTAGGGAGTTACAGGGTGGGGTCCCCTTGCCACTCCACAGAGCCCAGGAGTAAACAGGGGCTCTAGAGTCAGTGAGTGCGCGTGTTTTGGGAGCCTGCGGAAAGAAAGCCATTGGATAATTAGCCTGCGTTTATTAAAAGTCCATCAGCTGTGCACAGACCAGCCAGCTGAGAGTCCATCCTGCTCACCTAGAGCTGTTAGTGCAGATACATGGTTTCTTCACCTTTGCCAAAACTGGACTTCAAAATGTTTTTATTCTCAGGCTGTTACATTATCCCAAAGCAGCCTTCTAATCTCTTCGTGCTCAAGCAAATCTCTGTCCCAAACGTCACGGCCCCTGCGCGGATATTAAGGTTGTCTGGTTGGCAATAGGCATCACGGGTGCTACTTTATGGTTTTGAGCAAGAACTGGGGTTATTTTAAGGGTTCTTCAAAAAAGTCTGCTTTCTTTCTCTGCTTTTTTCCCCAAAGTGTTCAAAAGAGAAGTGGTCAGTATTTTTGTTTCCATAAACTTGTTCAAAAAGATCAAACTGCATTTTCTTAGAGTACCTAGCCACCCCTCTAAAAAAAATCAGAGTAACGAAATTCCCATACTAATGATCCATGTATTTTAATCACTATTTGTCCCCCCCGCAAGATTTCTAAATAGGTAAATTTTAAAATAAATAAGTACATTTATTTATTTAAAAATATATATTGCAGAGCTAATCATTGAAATTCTTAAAATAAAATAAACCACTGCCCTCTTGGCCTTAGCCCAGTCAGGTGATGGCTCGTCCTTCAGCCTTGGCACTGCAGTCCTGCCTTCTGTGGCACCCGGCAGGGCAGCCACATTTGCTGTGGTCGACTTGTGAGGACGGCAGGCTAGCAGTGGCACATGTGTGCCTCTCCCTGCTCTGCTTTCAAAATGATGGCGGTCGCTGCATCATCTTGCTTCTGCGGCCATGACCAAGGCACAGAACATTAAATTGGAATCACCTCTTGGTGTAGTGGGCATTGACTATAATGAATAATAAAAAAATTTGACCCAGCATTTCTAGAAATGAAGGAGTAACCTAGATTCAGTTGCTGGTTAGGGAAATCATGAGTACACAATACCAGTTGCCATTTTTTCTTTCCTACAAGTTCACACATATTATTATTAATATTCATAATAACTTCATGAACTTATGTCATTACCAGTGAAGAGTGTTGCTACTTTTTCCCTGTAACACTTCAGGCCAGCTTGAAGAACTGATCACCTCTAGTTTGGTGAAGGTGACATAGCTTTGGGGCCAAGTAAGACCAGGACCTGATGCCCTCCTAGGCAGCAGGGACCTCCACCCTGGAGCTGCCACTGCCCTGTTAAACCAGTGGCTTGGAGAAGCTGGCGCGGGCTTCCTCTAAGTAGGCAGAGCCCCAGGAGGAGGAGAAGAGTGGGGCACGCATGCTCAGCTCCTCCTAAATTCACCTGTCAGGTCAGGGCCGCCCCTTCAACTTGGAATAAAGTGAGAGGATGAGAGAAAAAGGCTCAGAATTTTACTCTACTGGGTATTCTGCATAGAATGTGAACCAGAGGACGGGAATTTTCTGTCCTCAAAGAAACTTTATTAGGCCACATGATGTACCCAAGGGCCCCGCCCCCAAAAAATACACAGACCCTCTCTGACCCTGACTCAGGGTCTTCTCCTGTCCCTCACGTACTTCTTTGCGTTCTCGATCTGTGTGACAGTGTGAACAGCTCCAGCAGAGCTTTTTCTGCCCCGGTTCAGCCACCCACTTCTGAATAAAAGAGTCAGGGTTCGAGCCCTGTCTGCCCCTGCCAGCTAGGTGATCAGGGGAAGTCACCTCTGAATTGGTAGTTTTCTCCTGGGCACTTCCCTGAACAGCCTAAGGTTTACAAATTTAACATGCAAGGGAGTTTGCCTGAGTACTGCATAAGTATAACGTGGCACACAAATATATGGTGCGCTGACTTCTGCCACAAAGAAGAGGAAAACAAACACAGTCCAGTTCCGGCTGGCGCCCTCTCCCCTGCCTGCCTTGTCTCCTTTTGTTTTACTGGGCTTATGTTCATGAATCAACACCGCTAATGATTTTTAGCAGTGCCCAGGGCTCACGGGTGACTCATTGCCTCTCCCCTCTCGTCTGAATTGCTGTGCTGTTTCTGCAGCCTTCTCTGCAGCCATCCGTCTCATTTCCCAGCATGCACCTTTATTCTGTCTGCTTGACCCCACTTTGTCTAGCTCCACCTTCCTGTCTCTATTCAGTCTCCCGCCTCTTCTCCCATGGGCCACTTCTGTATCACAGAGCTGACTGGTTGACTACAATAGGCTACACTGCCAACACTTTATGTTCTTAAGATGATAGTATTGTGCCCATTTTCCTGATGGGGAAGCTGAGGCTTTCTGAGACATTGTCACTTGCCCAGAGTCCTGTATCTGGAAGGCAGTAACACTCAGCTCTGAGCCTAGATGATCTAAGGGCAGCCGTCCCTTTGCTGTCAAAATCCTGCTTCTTTACAGCTCCGCTTCCCCAGACCACTGATCTTGCTCTTCTTTAAACCCCATCCCACCATTTAGCAGTTGATCAGTTTAGCCACTTGCTATTTGAAGGCCAAGGAAACATGGTCAGCTTCCCAGTTCCATGGGTTCCAGAACTGAAGATTCAAACAACCATGGCTTAAAGACAGTTGGGGAAAAATATTGTGTTCATGCTGAAAATTGCACTTTGTCTTTATTCTCAAGTTTGAATACAGAATATCAGCAGTGTGCACAGCGTTTACCTTGGATTCGGCATTGTAAGAAAGGGAGAGGTGATTTGCAGTCTACTTGCAGCATGGTGTAGGTTACGTGCAAACACTGCGCCATTTTCTAGAAGGGACTGGAGCAACCTCAGATTTTGCTATGCAGACTGGGTCCTGGAACCAGTTCCTGGGACCCTGAGGGAAGATCATGCTTTGCATTTGGGAGATATAGTGCCAAATGTATTTTCAATAATTTCTTCACTGCAAAGGAAATTATACTTTACCCCATTTCACAGATTTTCTAGTTTCCCGGGGTCATTTTGTAGCTATAAGACCAGAATTAGACACTTGGACCTGAGCAGTATGTCTGACCACTGCCGCCTCGTGGAGCCCAGCAGACAGATTTGGGCCAGGTTGTTCTGAAAAGCACCGCTCCCACTTTATATGACAAAACCCACGATTTGGGGAAGTTGGCAACCTAGATATACAATGTGTGTGTGTGTTGCGGGGGCGGTTATGCACACAAAGAAACCACTCAGTTTCCAGGATGTTTGTTTAGCCTTTTGAAGTCTGAACACTTGGTTTATTATTTCCTTGTTTTTGATCTAGCGTGTCACTGCCATATGCACACATGCTTATTAAAGACACACGGGGCATTGTGTTTTTCAAAGGATAGTCCCTTTTCTAAATCCACTCCCCCCGTAAAAAACTGATCGTTATGAAAATGTCCACCTTTCTTTTGTCCCTCTCCCTGTGGGGCTTTAGCGAGGGTTCCTGGTCTCCTTGAGACTGAGGCACTAACCCTCTGTCTTCACTACCCACTGCCTCCTTGAAGAAGCCAGCATTTCCAAGGGCTGACCCGCCTTTTTGTATTTGCTGAGCGTTCTTCAGCAGCCTCCTCACTCCGCCCCATGTCCACATTCTGAAGCCATTAACAGGCCAACACAGCATTAATGTGGGAATTAAAATTAATGTCTAATTTATTACTAGTAAAGTCCAAATGTGGTCAAGTCCCGAGGGAAAATGAGGTTTACGCTCCTGTGCCCAGGGCTGGGTGTGGCTCAGCAGTACACGTGTGCTTTTCCCGAAGCAGGCCCTGGGCTCCATTTCCAGAACCAACCCAAAACTAAGCTCCTGCCCCTCAGAAATTCACTTACTCTTTCTGTAAGAGGCCTAGCAGCTAGAGGCCCGTACATCTACAGCCGTGGGTGCAGGTCAGCAGAGAGAAAGAGCAGGAAGAGAGCGAGCAAAAGAAGAAAAGAGGATGGTGAGGAGGAGGGAGAGAGACGGATCTGACTGGCACTGGCCCCAGCTTAAGCATCTTTCTCTGATGTCAGAGAAGTAAATGCAAAGAAAAAAGCCGAAGCTTTATTTCTGTGCCTCCTGCCTAGCAGGTGTTTCCAATTTCTGTGGTAAGAAAGGAACAGGAAAGAGATCACCTTAAAATAGAGTCATTTAGGGCTGGGGATTTAGCTCAGTAGCATAAGTGCCTGCCTGGCAAGTGCAAGGTCATGAGTTTGATCCCCAGTACCGCCAAAAAAAAAAATAATAAAATAAAGTATCATTATTTATACTTAGTATATTTAATCTACCTTTCCTGACTTTGCTTGGAGTATGCATCACTTTGAAAATGGGCATAGTGATGGGGTATGTGTTCCACAAACACTTCATTAATCATTCTTTCCATCAGTCGCATTAGCCTTGAAATGATATTTTCTGTAAAGACTTACACCATGTGAAATAAAAAATGTATGGGACTGAACAATTAGGAAAATGCTATTCATGAGAACGTGTGGGAAAGTAGCTAATGCGGTGCATAGATGAATACTTCCATCTGTAAACCTAAGCGAAAATCCTAATGCTGCAACTTAGATAGGTGGATGAAAGAGCAGAACAAATCTGAAGACAAGCCAGAGAAACACGATAAGGATAGAAGTGGGATGGCATGCATTGCCAAGAAGCGGACTCAGTGCTGAGCCATTGCAGTCGTGGTGCCCTGTGGTTGTGTAGTTCAGGGTGAAGGTCCCCAAACAGTGACATTACAGTCACATCTCACAAAAAGAACAGAAACACGTATGTGTCGTAGCTCTGTGCCATAGCAACTTTTGGAGACAGTTCTTCAGAATTTCTCTAAGCCAGCCCTTGACTGGGCTCCTGGGACCTCTGGACGCCCCATATGGCAAGCAGAATGCCTAAATCCATTTCATTAAGGTTTTCCCATTCCAGTTAGTTGCATTAGAACTTGTAATTCACATTCCTAAACTCCAAGAGGCAAAAACTTTTTGAGTGCTGACATGAAGCCACAAGTGGAAAACTTCACACTATGAAACTTTTGTTTCATCTACAAAATTACTAGAAATATTATAGAAAACTACCTCCAGTCCATGTATAGAAGCTGTATATGAGACATAAATGAATTTAGTGTTTAGACTGAGGTCCCAGCCCCAAGGTATTTCATTATTTACACACAGATATTCCTGAGTCTGAAAAAAATTGGAAATCCAGAGCACTCTGAGCCCAAGCATGTGAGATAAAGGATAGACAACTTGTAGTTGGGTTTCTCCTTATATCACTCAGTAGAGAAAGTATATGTTTATTGAATCTCACAATATTAAAGCTTTATGTTTTCTGTGATAGTCTTCTGTTATATTTTCTTTTTCTTAAAGATACTTGGGAGCCCACAGCGCCTCTGTGACCTAGCAGGACCTAGCTCCACGGAGCCAGAACCCAGGAAAAGATCAATTTCAAAACGGAAGTCTCACCTGGATCTTCTCAAACTGTATGATACATTTTTCTTTCAGGTCTATAGTGCTTGGTAAAAATTGCTTCTTTTTAAATTTTTTTTCCAACTCCTAAAATGTTTATGAATTTACATTAAATGAAATGTGTGATTAATAATTTTAGTCACAAGCCATAAGAGGAGACTAATCTCAATTTATTATAGTCATGTAACTTTCCGTATTTTCATACTGACCAAAAAATCTGAGTATACAAAATGAAATGTCCAAAAATTATTCATTGGAATTATTTCAGGGAAGAGCTTTGAGATTTACAGTATAGCTGTGGAGTTCCTTCGCATGCAGGCTCCTCAGGACACTGAACATTATATAATTTTTAATAGTTGTGTTGTTCAGGCAGCATGCTTATTTAGAGAAGAAGTTGCATGCCAACCATGGTGGCATATGCCTGTAATCCCTGCACTTAGGAGGCTGAGGAAGGAGGATCACCACAAGTTCAAGGCCAGCCTAGGCTTACCTAAAGAGGGCAAAGCCAGTCTGAACTGCGTAGTAAAACCCTGTCTAAAAAAACAATAGATAGATAGATAGATAGATAGATAGATAGATAGTAGATAGATGATAGATAGGAAGATAGAAAGAAAGTTGCATTTTATCCTATAGCCATTATAACTGTTTTGGAGTTGAAATACTAAGCGTAACCACAAACATGAGATTGCCCAGTGCCCATCTTGGGGAAAATTACAAACTCTTTTCAGGAGTTTTCATTTATACCCAATAAACCAGCCAACCAAGAAGGCCCTGATTCAAGGTGGGCCACTTTACCTGGAGGTTTTCCCAGCCTGAGCATGTTTGTTTCGTTTATTCATTGCCTGGGCCATTTGATTTTATGCAAATGAGACTCTCTCGTGAACCCTGTACCGTGCACCAGCCTGACAGTTGCTCGTTTGGGAGCATTTCTTTCTCGCTCTCCATGTGTACTGTCTTCTCTCCCAAACGCCCTTCAGCATCATGGATGGCATGACGGAGGCGTGCATCAAGGGTGGCATCGAGGCCTGCTACGCTGCCGTGTCCTGTGTGTGCACCTTGCTGGGGGCTCTGGACGAGCTCAGCCAGGGCAAGGGCCTGAGTGACAGGCAGGTCCAGCTGCTGCTCCTGCGCCTGGAAGAGCTGAGGGACAGGGACGTGGCCGAGTCCAGCCGAGACTCCATGGAGATCAACGAGGCTGACTTCCGCTGGCAGAGGCGCGTGCTGTCCTCGGAGCACACGCCCTGGGAGGCAGGCAACGAGAGGAGCCCTGACATCAGCATCAGTGTCACCACGGACACCGGCCAGACCACCTTAGAGGGAGAGTTGGGTCAGACGACACCCGAGGACCACACAGAGAACCACAAGAATGGGCTCAAGTCTCCAGCCATCCAGGAGGGCAAGGAGACACTGGGCAAAGTGTCGGAGCCCGAGGCAGTAGACCAGCCCGACGTGGTTCAGAGGAGCCACACGGTGGCTTACCCCGACATCACCAACTTCCTGTCAGTGGACTGCAGGATGCGGTCCTACGGCTCTAGGTACAGTGAGAGCAACTTCAGCGTGGATGAGCAGGACCTGTCGAGGACCGAGTTTGATTCCTGTGACCAGTACTCAATGGCAGCGGAGAAGGACTCAGGCAGGTCGGACGTGTCGGACATCGGGTCGGACAACTGTTCGCTGGCTGACGAGGAGCAGACCCCTCGGGACTGCCTGGGGCACCGGTCCTTGCGAACAGCCGCTCTGTCTCTCAAACTGCTGAAGAACCAGGAGGCCGACCAGCACAGCGCCCGGCTGTTCGTGCAGGCCCTGGAGAGCCTCCTGCCTCAGCTGCTGGCGCTCTCCAGCGTGGAGGAGGTGGACTCAGCCCTCCAGAACTTCGCCTCTACTTTCTGCTCAGGTTGGTAAACACTTTGGCTTGTGGGAAGCGAGCGTGTTCAGAGCAAGGCTTAGCCAGGTGGGCAGTTACCATCCTGCTTGTAGTGGGGAACACTTAGATCAATGCCTTCGGGGTTCCTCTGTTTAAACAGGGCAAAGGATATAAGGCAGATTGGTGGACGTTTATTCGTGGACACAGGAGCTCGTCTGCCTGGGCTGCCCTGACCAGCTTGGTGTCCCTTGGGTCAACGTAAAGCCCAGCAAACCTGCTAGCCCCTCAGAAACTGTGACATGGCGAAGCACAGATATCGGCTGTGGTAATGACATTCTTGAGTTATGGAGAAATAGTAAATTATAGCGAGGGTCTTCTGTTTCACATTTAAAATGCCCATATAAAAAGACTTTACTGTAGCTGTCCCAGCATTTAACACATTATCTCCCAGATAACACCGTGTTTGTAAACACTACCTACCGGTGACTCCAGATGAATGGGTTGTCACCGTGGCAAAGAGTGACTCCACAGGCCCTCCCTTGTTCTTTAGGACATTAAGAACTATAACCCTAGCAAGGCCTTTTATAAAATTTCTGGCAAAAGCCACTCTTCACGTTTGTGTTTTTGTACCTTAGCTTTTTGTGCGTGCAAACTAGGATGTGTGTGACTTTTTTTAATGTGACTATGTTGTGCCACAATGAATTGCAAACTGCCCACATTTGAGAGGTCCATAAAACGTCCCGCCAGACTTGATATGTTGTGTGGAATTATTTTTTACATGTAGAAATCAATACATTGAAAAGAAACCTCATGCATTTTTACTTGTTTCTAAAAGCTATTTTTAGTGCTTGTAATTAAGTTAATGGTTTGTCTTTTTGATCCTAGTGACACCCACAATGCTTTTGCCATTTAAGAACTGGTCTCTGTTTGCAAACTGCAGACCTGTCAGCCATGGTCCTGGTACCCATGTGCCAGCTCGCCTCGGTGACCCCGTGGTGTAGCTGATGGCATGGCCATTGCCATGGGGAAGCTAACGCTGCTGGCTGCTGGCCCATGTCCACCTCCTGACCAAGGTGTGTGCTCATCTGTCCTTGCAAGTACCACCTCGGAGACTAGAAACTAAAAGAGAAATGCTGGCCTTCTACTGAGACAAAGGCTGGGAGATGGCAAATGTCCTTTGTTTTCCCAAGAAAGAGAGGAATGCAAACACAGAGGGGAAAGGAACTCCCTGAGTCATAAACCAGATCTTTGGTCCTTTATTTGTTTGATCTCTGCAAACCTTCTTTTGCGAAAACTTGCAACCTTGCATTCCTCTCTGCCTTGTTGCCAGGGGGCTGCGTTCTTGGGCCAACCACACCCGGTGACTCAGCAATTCCACCCTGATAGCTACCATACCACCGAGATGACCCCTCTAACTCCACGTGACTCAGGAGAGCGTTCTTCGCTTATTTATTTATTTTCTTTTTTGTTGTTTTTTTTTTCTGGTACCAGAAATCGAACTCACAACCTTGTGCTTGTCAGGCAGGCGCTGTGCCGCTGAGCTAAATCCCCAACCCCTTTATTTTCAACTTCTATTTTTATTAGTCCACGTTTGCAGCACATGGTAATCGCATTCCCTGTGACGGGTTGGTGCACAAATATAACATGTCTTCATCTTTCCCTTTCCCTTCCCTCCCTGGTTCAATCCTCAGCCTAGTTAAAAAAGAATTTTAAAAGATAAAAATGGCATAATCACATCCTAATGAATATTTTAAAAGTAAAAGGACCAAGAGATGGAAGGAGAGAATGTTTCTTTTAAAACAAAGCTTCTTATGGCAGGGTGGTATGAAAATGTTGAGGCAAAAAAAAATTTTGATGAAGATGTCCTTGCCCCGAGCTGTGACCATGCAGAAGTGCCGCTGTGGTCCTGTGGAAAGGAGGCGGAGTCGGTGCAAGGTGGCTCCTGGGGACCAGGAAAAAGCCCTGGGCTTGCAGTGCGATTGATGAAGGGTCTGACTGGGTCGCTGTCCCTCAGTGTGGGGCTTTAAATCATGGTCTCAAGGCTCACTGTGACCAAAGGGAAGGCTGCAGCAAGCAGTGCAGTATGCATTACAGCCCATTTCACAGAAGATGGAGTAGCGAGTAGAATCTCAGCTGTGGAAAAAATAGCCGTTTCTTTCAACTCAAACAAACCTGACTGTGGGACCCCACCCCAGCCTGCCCAGCTGGCCGAGCATCTGGCCTCTGCTTTCCTTCCTGTGAGATCCTGCCACACAGTTAAACTCAAAGCTGGAGCGTGTGAAATGGGAGCCCTGTGACCCCATACATGGTGCCATGGTTCTGCCACCTCCCTCCCTACCAGCCTGGGGCCAGCAGTGTTGTGGGAAGGCTCGGAGCCTCTCTACAGTCACCCATGCTCCTCCTGGTCCTGCAGCCCTGTGGGTCAACCAGGATCCGGGGAGCCTCACCCCGCAACCACTTCCAGCCAGAGCATCTCCTGCACCTTCACCACCCCTGGATGAGGGAGCTGGGGCCAAGGTTGTCCCTGAAATAACTTGGCGTCCTTTCTAGCAGGTATTTCTCAGCAAATCAATGTGCTCATTTACATATGTCTGAACAATAATGGCTAAGCTAGCATAGCACTTCCTGTGTGCCCCATGTTGTCCAAAGGTTTTGCATATGTGAATTCATTTAACACTCACAGCAACCCAGGTGAAAATACTGTTATCCCCATTTTACAGCTGTGAAAACAGTAGTGGTGATGCCAGAGTGTGAACCCAAGCATCTGGCCCCCAGAGGGAGCCCTGAGCCATTACACTGCATAGTATGTGTGAGGGGGGGAGAGAGAATGTACAGAGAGAGAATGGGGGTAGATATGTTATATGTGTAACTTTGTGACACACTTTTCACTTACTATCTTGTTAGCATGTTCTTCTGTCCTTAGGCTGTGGAAATATAATGTATATTGCCTCTGTAATACTCGTGTTAACTTACACGGTATACTTCATTTCCCCTTTTGGTGGACCCCTAAGTTTTTCTCTACATGCCCCCAAAGCTTTTTAATTATTTAGAAAATACTATTCAAGAACACAAAAGCCTCTGGAATTGATTTACCCTGGAAAAAGAAAAGGTGACCTACAACGGCTAAAATGCTGTAGCACAAAATATATGTGACAGTCGTCCACGTCTTGACAGACACGGGTGCTCCTGGGAATATCTCCTAAGAGAACAGAATCTCAGACAGAGATACATACATAGAAACATTCAGCGGCACTGCTTAATAGCAAACTCATTAGAAGGAGGTAAAAACCCATTACATGAACCATAGGATCGCCACTGGCGTTTTTATAACCATTTAACGTGATGCTTCTGCATACTAACGAATGCTATGGAAAATGGTCAGAATATAATTTTTAAAAGAAGCTCTCAAAATTAGTGTTAAAACCTTAACACTCATCTCAGAAAAGTGTGGTTATAATTAATTTCTTTCTGGGGAAATTTTGCCAGATTTCTAGAACTAATTTCTTATACATTTTTCAGGAAAGAAAGCAGTAATACTATGTAAAAACTAGAGCTAAAGACTCCTATAAAGAACTGTTGTGCTAAGGAAAGTCATATACTTTTATAGTGAACATTTAGAAAGTTAATCATGCCCAGGCAGTGTTGCTGAGAGTGTAAGAATATCCTTGCACACAGTTGGCAGGAGGGAAGAATAGTATGTATGTTGCTATTTGGAACATATCTTGGCTACATCTGTCAAATTTGATGTATATATACACACTCTGCCTTCAGGAATTTATTCCACAAATACACATACAGAACTGCTAAAAGTAGTTCCATCACTTGAGCTTTTTTTCGGAGTTGAAACAACACAATGTCCACTGATGTGCTAAGCACTGTACAGATCACAGTGCATCCCCGCAGTGGCAGATGCAGTCATTGGAAAGAGTAAGGCAGATTTGTGAGCACTAATGTAAAGAGACATCCACGACATAGTGTTGGAAACATCACATCACTGTGTAATACGTTTGTCATGGCCCTTGATCCATGTTGTCAAGGTTCCATCCACACAAGTGAGTGAGTCTTGCTGGGAGAGATATAATCGAGGCTTGGGAGAAGCGGGACGATTGTTCTTACACTCCACAATGCTGCTAAATGTTTTAAATCAAATATTTAATGTTGACTTAATAGCATCTCTACATGAGAGAGACATTTAGAAGTTCTTTATCTGGTCTTCCCCAGCTGTGGAGCTGGGGACCCGTCCTCCTGTTCCTGACAATAAAGAATGTCTTCATTACAGCAAACAAACTTACCCACTGAAACCTGGGAAATACAGGTATGAGAGCCAGAATATCTTCAGGGCCAGAGTTTCTTCGTTTGTCATGGGGATAAAACTTCAATGAAACCAATCAGAAGGATGCGCAGAAAATAGACTATCAGAGGGGAACATGTCACTGGAATTAGAATTCAGCATAGCTTAGTGCAGAGAGCCTGGCGTTAGGGCTCAGAGGAACTTTGCCAGCTTCTAGCTGGATAAGTTTAGCCAGATTGCTTAACACCTCTGAGGTATTTTCCATGCCGTGAACAAAGTTGGGACAGGATCAGATGAAATGACATACAGGGAGAGACTGGTTCCAGGCAATAAACAGCTTCTAACAAACTGCGGCCACTGCTGATTCCACTATTACTGCTATCACCGGTGAACCCTACTTGGTATAGCACAAAAAACTTTTTGGCCTTAAGTGAATAGAGTACACCTCAGGTTATCTTCATCTCAGATTTGCCAGCTCTGTAATCAAAGACATTAATCTGCGTACAGAATTAACCTGCAAATACAGACAGATGGCCCCTGTCAGTCCAGCAGGTCATTTCAGAATGGGATGAATCTGCTAGCGATGCCTGTGGAGCTCATGACTGGGTCTCTGCATCGGCAGACATACTGGCTGCTCCTTTCACTTTCAACACCTGAGCATGTGCTCAGATTTCTAAAACATACTCCAAGATAAACTGCTGGTTTCAAAATTTATAAAGACCTTATCGCTAATGTCCAGGATCAAAGCCACTTGCAGCATCTCTTCTTCCTTCTTGTTGGTAAACTCAAATGTACCTTTCGCCTATGATTCAAGGTAGTGAAATGCTTAGCCCTGAATGCTGCTCTCTACTTTACTTTGGAAAGAGAAGGATTTTAGGCCGTCTGTGTCTGCAGAGAACTGGGACCAATGGCCACAGGACCTGCAGAGTACTTGGGGTTCCCACAGGCCATCCCGGCCGTGACACGCTGCTTGCTTCTGGCCAAGGATGTAGTTTTCAGATCCCACTCTCAGTTTTACTGTCCTCGCGTGACCACAGAGCAGGCTCTCAGAAGGCAGCTGCAGAGACCAGCAATGCTCTGTAAAGCAAGGTGAAGCTGGTGCCCCACCTCAGCTTGTCCAGGTGGATCTGTTGGCTGGGGGGATGTTGATGTTCCTCTCAAATACAGAAAGTGTCTTGAGTTAAAAGCTTCCTCCAGCCCACATCTTCTTGAGCATCCCAGTTGCAAATGTGTGTTTCTCACTTACTTGGCTGTTAACTCTGGCAAATGTTTACATTTCACATTGGTGACATAGTTTTGATGAAATGAGACTTCTCCATGTAGCCTGAGGAATGTGTGGTGTGTATAATTTGCACACATGTGTTTAGGATGGGATCTTTCACCCATATCACTAAACTGAACATCGGAGGTTTTGTAGGGAGAAATGAGCTCTGGATCAGTATGGTACCCACCCCAGAGGAGCTGGCCCGGGGCCTGTGTGTCAACCACACTTCTCTGGAAGTGGACAAAGGCATCACATTCTAGCGGTATGAGCCCAGCGGCAGGCATTTCCTTGTTTGGTTTTTCAGTTAATTTGTATAACGCCCAGAGGGTTTTCAAAATGAGAACTTGAGTTAGTATAAAACAGTATTCAATATATTTTTTTTTAAAAAGTGGAAAGTCAATAGCTATTATATTTTTTGAACCTCTTTATTTTCTTGGTTTTTTAAAAATAGTTTTATTGCAATAAAATTCGCATACATTTACCCATTAAAGTGCACAATGAAATGGTTGTTGATATATTACACTATTATTTGTTTTAGTGTGGTAAAATATACATAACATAAAAGTTAACATTAATCATGTTCAAGTGTATAACTTAGTGACACTTATTATATTCACAATATCATACAACATCATCCTAAACTATGCTTACTCCCATCCCTGGTAGCCTCTAATCTACTTTCTGTCTGTGAATTTATCTATTCTAGGCACTTCTTACAATTGGACAATAAATATTTGTCATTTTATACCTGGCTCATGATACTCAGCATATGTTTTCAATGCCTCTTGTATCAGGCATTTTGTATCAGAACTCTCATTCTTTTTTATGGCCAAAGAATATTCCATTTTATGTGTCCATCACATTTGGTTATCCACTTGTCCAAACTTGAGGGATGCTCCTGTGTTTGACTATTTTGACTAATGCTGCAGTGGTCATTGACATACAAGTATCTACTCAAATTTCTGCTTTTATTTCTTTTAGGAATATAACTAGAAGTTGAATGGCTGGGTCATATGGTAATTATGTTTTGCTTTTGGAGAAATATTCTTTTTGAAAACTTTGTATTTAAGAGTAACTCTATTAAGAATAATTTCACATGAAGCTGGGTGTGGTGACATACATACATTTATATCCCTGGTGCTGGGGAGGCTGAGGCAGGAGGATCACCATGAGTTCAAGACCAGTCTAGGCTGCATAATGAGTTAAAGAACGGCTTGAAGTACATAGAGAAATCCTATTGGGAGCTGCTCAGTCTCCTATGATAAGTGGACTGTGAGGGATTAAATAAATCAGACCAGTGATATGAAGTTTTGGGGTCTAAGAAAGCCAGAACTCTCTAGGAGCTAAGACAAAGACTTCTCTAGAATCACCCATGTTTACTGGTTTTCAAACAAAGGAAGTAGGTAGCTGAGGTAAGCGTGGGAAACTGGCAGGACCTTGTGAAACTAGATCAAAGACTTCTCCAAGGGGTACCTTTTACCAGTTAACAGAACTGTCTTATCTCTAGGTTTGACAGTGGGCCAAGGCCTGCAGCTGCAGTCTTATTTTAAGAATTGGAGTGAGAAATTGGTGTCCTCAGCTGTGGCTTTATCTTGTCCTTGGAGGTGTCACACTGTCACCAACCTATACAGGTCTCCACAGTGACGGTTGGCATGGAGAGTTACACTTCCCACACACCAGCTGCCGCTTCTTTGAGCAAGTGGCCTAGGCTTGGAGCAGACTCATAAGTAAATATATAAAACAAATGAGTTGATTTTTTTTTTGTTTTTTGTTTTTTTGGAGATAGGGTCTTGTTATGTAGTTGAGACCTGCCCTAAGCTCACTATATAACCCAGGCTGGCCTTGATTTTGCAGCAATCTTCCTGCCTCAACCTCAGAGTGCTGGGATTATAAGCGTGCACCACCACACCCGGCCCAGTGAGTTAATTGTAAAGCCTGCTCAGTGCTCCCTCATAGTGTTCTCCAACAAGACCCTGTCTCAAAAACAGAACTAAAAAATCTGCGGAGAGTAACTGCTGTAAGCCCCTCACATCAGCACCTGAGTGGGTCTGGTTCTCATGGCAAGCTTATTCACTCAGTCAGTCATTCAACAAATGCATTTTAAGGGTCTCCTGTGTGACAGACACTGCTCTAGGCACCGGGGAATTCTGTAATGAATGAAAGTAGCAGAGTCCTATCCTCTCACAGATCTTACGTATCAGTGGTGACGGCAGACACTGAATGTGTATTCATACCATGCCGTGTGCAATAAATGCCATTGAAGCTGTCTCAAAATGCAGCAGAAGGACAAAGTGTGGTGGGGCTGGGGGTGCTGTGTAGATGGGATCAAAAGGGAAGTCTCTGAAAAGCCCCACCAGAGAGCTGAAAGAGTGAACGAGCAGGCCTTCTGAGAGCTCAGGGAGACCGTTTGGGAGTGGCAGAAATGAGGCCAGGTCCTGAGGCAGGTCCTGTGGGTGCGGAGGTCGGGGGTCTTGGTACCATCACAGGAAGCCACTGGAGAGGCTGGAACTCGGTCAGTTATTCCCCCTTTGTGTAGGAAAACAAAGTGACAGAGTGCTTAACTGAATTCCTACAGTCCTGGCTGCTGAACAACAGGCAGAGGCACTGCAGGTGCCGTGTGTCCGATCGCAGCTGCCCGGCAGCTTCCCGCGCTGACTGCTGTGGCTGCACAGGAGGGTCCCATGGGGCAGCTTCTGTCACTAGCACGGGTGGGGTCGTGCCGTGTGCACCATTTGCAGCCGGGTCTCTGGGCTTCTCCCCCAGGCATGATGCACTTGCCCGGCTTTGACAGCAGCAGCAGCCTTAGCTTCCAGATGCTGATGAACGCCGACAGCCTGTACATGGCCGCACACTGCGCCCTGCTGCTCAACCTGAAGCTGTCACACGGCGACTACTACAGGAAGCGGCCAGCCCTGGCACCCGGCATGCTGGTGAGTGTGCAGCCTCTGCCCCCTACCCGAGGGCACCTTCGGGCCTCCTGCCTGCACAGCCAAGGGGCGGGGCCTGGGGAGCATGGCAGGGTGTGCCCTGTTCCACGCCTGTGCGGCCCTGGAGGGCGGAAAGGGGTGGTGCTGTGAGAGCACAGATGTGCACGGATGTGAGCTGCAGAGACCCCCACGCCTGATAGGGGAGCTCCTGACAGGGAAGGATCCTGAGTGCTTGCCTACATCCCACCCATTCATCCAGTGGCATCATTAAACACATGTCTGTAAAGCACATTCAAAAACACGTCATTACCACACTGAGATCAGATGTGCGAGACTTTGCTGAAAATGATGCATTGTTACAAAACCCTTCACTGCATCCCAGAATGTGCCCAGACCTCCTCATGAGCCAGAGCTGGGCTCACTGACTGTCAGTAGCAGAGCTCCCCTGAAAGCTGTGGAGAATGGTGTTGGGGACCCTGTGGTTGGCTCCCTGGACTGAGCGAGACATGAAAACACTCTGGTGTCCCCTAGGACTAGGTCATGAGCCTGAATCTCGGGATCCATAGACAGGAATAGTTCGTCATTTGTTTGATAATAAATTATGAATTTGCAAAGGTGAGTGACTACATTGTAAGTCAAGTTTCTCTCAAGGTGTGCGCTCCTCGGTCACTTGCCATCTGCCATCTCTGCTGCTGGGCGGAGGAGAGCACGCTGCTTTGAGGCACGTGTGCACTGTCTAACCCTCCACCGAGGGGGAAGGGAGCAAATGCAGCGCCCCTGGTCCTTCTACAGGGACTGTTGAGGGCGTCTTGCAGCAAAAGGAGCTGTGTGAAGTTCGAGGCTCCTCATCTCTGGCTCCTCCTTGCCAACCTCACCCCCATAAGGGCACGATGGGAAGGGACAACCTGGGAGCCAGCTCTTTGCAGAGGTTCATTCGTTCTGGGTCCCCTGTTAACGTGCTCTCTCTGCAGAAAGAGTTCATGAAGCAGGTGCAGACCAGCGGGGTACTGGTGGTCTTCTCCCAGGCCTGGATCGAGGAGCTGTACCACCAGGTGCTGGACAGAAACATGCTGGGCGAGGCCGGCTACTGGGGCAGCCCGGAGGACAACAGCCTGCCACTCCTCACCATGCTGACGGGTCAGTGCCCACTCCAGGCCGTGCGGCACTCGGGGGCGGGGGGTGCGGGGAAGGCTCAGCCTTCAAGGCCTCTTTTAGATACACAGTGGTGTTTCAAGCAAACTTTGAAACAGCACCCACGAAGCCTCTCTGGGTGTTGGCCACAGCTCCAGAGCACACCTCACCAGTTTTCTGTCCTTTTTCCGTGGGGAGTGAGTGAGGCTCACTTCATCTTACCAGACAAGCACTACTTAGCACCTCATCTGCTGGTGTCAGGCCACAGGCCACTCTCCTATGGATAGGCAGCACTTGCTGGGCACAGGGCCCACAATAATATCTGAAGCTCTCACAGGCTAATAGAGGAGCTAATCATTCACTGCCCTTCGGGTTTGACCAGTAGCGTGAAATGATTGACTTTAAACTCATTTCCATTTCCCGTCCATATCAGAGCTCCTCTCTTCCCGTCTGTACCACAATCTACAAATAGGGCCATATACTCACCAGCCCAGCATCTTTGGAGTCAGTGTTCAGAGCTCTTCATATCCTGTTGAACTATCAGAAATTTCACAGTGAGGCCAGGCACTAAGGAGGCTGAGGTAGGAGGATTGTTCCAAGTTCAAGGCCAGCCTGGGCTGCTTAGTAAGTTTAGGGCCAGTTTGGACTATATAACAAGACCCTATCTTAGAGAAAGAGAAAGAGAGAGAGAGAGAGAGAGAGAGAGAGAGAGAGAGAGAGAGAGAGAGAAAGAAATCTTACATGACAGTAGAGAGCAGCAGCAGTTAGTGTGTTGGCTTTTGGAGGCAGATTTTCTTGGTTTTTCATGGCTTAGCCAGGATGTCACTGAAAGGTCAGGGAGTGCTCAGAAGTTTTGTTTAATCATCAGAAGCCTTATTAAGTTAGATCTTCAGGCTTGTTCTGCACTGGTTCTGGGTTTCCAGACTGGCTTCTGATCTAAATCGTCCTCTCATGGCTTCTGCTAGTGGGATATGGAGGACAAGGCCCTGCAGCAGATGTCCCTTGTCCCCGCCACAGTGTCCCATGTCCTCACATAGCTTGTAGCTCTGCACCAGATAGAAGCACGTCTGGGGTGGCCAAAGGGCGGGTCAGGTGCCTGTGGTGAATGCTTGGTCCAAGCACACACGTTTCAGCTCCATCACCACTGCTGCGGCAGTCACTTCCTTTACACCAACGACATCAGCACCCAGAGAAGGCAGCATCTGTCACAGGTTCGAGGCTGTGAGGCTGCTTAAGTAGGACCCAAGATAGAAGCCCAGCATTTTCAGCCCTGGGCCACCAGTTCCTTCCTGCCGCAGTGGTGAGGGGTGGTTTGTTGAGCTAATCCTGTTGAAGCCGGTTTGTGCTAGGGTAGATACAGAAACAAGGCAGCTGAGGAGCCTGTAGTGAGCACCATTTGGGAAGGCATGGGCATTGGTCTGGGTCTTTTCTTTGCCAGCCATATGGTTCTAAGTGGTCTACCTTCTTCAAATGTTTCCTCCTCATGTGAAATGGGAAAAGGAATGCCAACCCTGCCTGCCTGCTTTGAATTATGGAGACAATCAATGAAAAAAAGTGTCAGATGAAAACACTTCGAGAACAGTAAGGCATTCTTATCAATGTGATATCATCATACTCAGCTATTAGAGTAAATGATTATCTGACTACGGAGGTCTGTTCTTTTTTTAAATTCTAATGAGGAAGCCCTCAAAAAAGAATTCATTTTAGGGTAACCCGCCCATATAAAATTTGGAAATAATGCCATGATTATGAACAAAAAAAAGAATCCAGAGATCAAAATTATTTTAAATGAATAGATTTCCTAACAATGGAGATGGCAGAATTTAGCTTTATTTTTTTCAGATACAAAATATACAGCGGCATATCAGAAGAGTGCTTTGACAATGAAAGGAAAATGAGCTGACTGAATAAAACGCAATTCATAATACTCTGAAAAAGTTGCTGCATACCCGGTACACAATAGATACCGTGGCCGCTTGAGGAAAATTGCTCAAGAAAAACCTTGCTGTTTTTCCTTGACAGACATTGATGGCTTAGAGAGCAGTGCAATTGGTGGCCAGCTGATGGCCTCTGCTTCTACAGAGTCACCTTTTACCCAGAGCAGGATAGTTGACGACTCCACAGTGGCAGGTAAGGACTTGGGTCTTAAGTTTCTCAGTGCTTTTTTCATGGCGTGTGTCACCAGCAGTTCTGTTACAGTGTGGTGCCATCAGTGAATGAAGACTTTGTCTTGGTTCTAGCAGTAACGATGGAAGGTATTTAACAGCATCCAGCTGACGATGACATAGTATTTATTATTTATAAGCACAAAGTGAACCATGACCAACAGTCCATTAAACTGCATTTCTTGCCACAGAACTGCATGCTACTCTGATAGCCGGAGAACCCCGGGCCACCCTTTGCCAGGTTGTTCCTGTCTCTGGAAAGTGACCGGGCACCTTCATGTCCTAGGTGTGGCATTTGCTCGCTATATTCTGGTCGGCTGCTGGAAGAACCTGATCGATACTCTGTCAACCCCACTAACTGGCCGCATGGCGGGGAGCTCCAAAGGGCTGGCGTTCATCCTGGGAGCTGAGGGCATCAAAGAGCAGAACCAAAAGGAGCGCGACGCCATCTGCATGAGCCTGGACGGGCTGCGGAAAGCTGCCAGGCTGAGCTGTGCGCTAGGTACCGGCGGGGGGCGGGGTGCTCCCTACAGACTCACTGGGAAGCAGGGAAGGGACCTGCTAGGTGAGTGGCTCGAGAACCTGCTCAGTTAAGGGGTAGCTGTCTGTTTCCTCTAAAGGGGTTGCTGCTAACTGCGCCTCAGCCCTCGCTCAGATGGCTGCTGCCTCCTGCGTCCAGGAAGAGAAGGAGGAAAGGGAAGTCCAAGAACCCAGTGACACCATAGCACAAGGTAACAGCTGCGGGGCCAGCAGCCACCTGGTGCCTGGGCGTGGTGTGTACACACCTGCCGGGTGACTCCCATCCCAGTTCTGCGTGATCCAGTCGGTGTACACCGCTGAGCCACAAGCTTGTGTCTGTTGGAGGTGAGGGACATACATGCTCAGACTCGGTCCCTCTGGCCCCTCCCTAGTGATGAGGAAAGTGCAATTGGCTGACGACTGGAGTCTGTGACCACCCAGCTGAGCCATCATCTGGCCACCGGGTCTTGCACTTCGTGGCAGTGCGCATTTGAAGGGTCCCCCAGTTTACAGCGGGGAAGGCAGTCAGGCCAGTTTTCTGAAAGGGAAAATCAAACAAATGGGGGAATTGAGAGAAGGGGCTCAGGAAGGCTTTGCGCTTGTTGGAGCAGAACCTGTGCTTTGTGGACTCAGGAAAATGTTTGTTCTTGTTTTGTTTTTTGAGATGGGTCTCACTGTGTAGTTCAGTGCTGAACTCCTGATTCTCCTGCCTCTGCCCCTCGAGTGCTGGGAGTACAGGCATGCATTAGCGTGTCCAGCACAGAAAGTGTTGGCTTTTAACTTGTTGAAGTCAGTGAGTTGGTGAAGCTAGTGATCGCCTACGCAGGGGCAAGAGAATGGTCTTCGAAATAGCAGTGGACGCTGAAAGGCAGGTAACAAAAAGGGAAGGGCACACTTGGCCCAAATTATGCCAGTATCCCCTGCTAGATGAGTGAAAGCGATCGCAAAACAGCTGTGTATGTCTAGCTAAGAAAAACAACTTAGGTCAGTGTTCCTCCAGCTTGAATAATATTTAAAGAGCTATTTGAAAGCAGAGAAATTCTTACAGATCCCCCAAATTAACCAAAAAAAAAAGGAAAACAAAATTTCACTGAAGCATTGTACAGCATGAGCTAAATTCTTACATTGATAGTTCTTTAAAAACCCCTAAGACTTGGGATTGGGACATAGCTCAGTAGGAGAGCACTTGCCTAGCATGCACAAGGCCCTGGGTTCAATTCCCAGTACCACAGAAACAAACAACAACAACAA